CCCCCGCAGCAGACCAGGGAGACGCGAAGCAAAGCCGCGGAGGACGCGGGCGGCAGGACCGCCAAGACGCGCCGCAGTCCTCCGCAGTGAGAAAAGCCTGGTCTGCTGGGGGAGGGGGGGTGCAGCTAGTGCAGGGTGAGTCACCCCGTTCGTAAGTGGGGATCCGATGTAAGTCGGATCCACAGAACCTCCACAATAGCCTCTTCCCCTCAGCAACTCCACTTTTTTTGCTGCAATAAGTCACCATGCAGAACAAACACCACAGGGCAATTTGCTCTTTGCTGTATTCCCTCAACACCATTTAACATAAAATCATTCTGGAAAGTGGAGCTCTCAGTCTTAATAGCAGACTCGTTGTGGTACAGGAAACCCTGCTGTTGAGCAAAGAAATTAGCCACTTGAAGGGAAGCTGGGGCAGTTTTGTACTGGGTGAGATGGTCAGTCGTTTTTTTTTCTCCCCCAAATGCTGCCATGTACGTGTTGCCTAATGCACCCATGTGAGGGGACAGCCAGGGAAGTCACCCCCTTTTCTCTTCTCCTTCCGCTCTGACTGTTCAACACTTTACCCAGCCAGGGAATGAAAGTTCTCTTCCTCTTACCCACTCGTAACTTTTTCCTGTGCTCTGGGTTATTACATAGACCCTGGTCAGCCAAGTGGACAGAGCACTGGACTGGGACATTTGACAACTAGGTTCTGATTCTGCTACTGCCCTGCTGGCTGACATAGTGCAAGTCACTTAACCTTCCCAATGCCTCAGTTTCCCCACCTGTAAAACCAAGAGTGTAATATTGCCCTCCTTTGTAAGTGTATTTTGAAATCTACCAATGCAAAATGTCATCTAAAAGAACTGGGTGTTTATTACCCTTTAATAACTTACACACACGCTTAAGGCCTACTGCCCTCACACACAGCTCCACTAATGTTAGCTAGGATCTTAGCTTGCAAGCTCTTTCAGACAGGAAACTGGTTGTTTTTGTGAGACTGTAGCGCACCTACCACAGAGGGGCTCTTGTCCATAACCAGTAGGTGCTACTGTAATACAAATCATCATAACAACCAGGGTAAGAAATGTGTCAGAACTAGAGGTAGATCCTCAAACCTCAGGATTCAAACTCTACAGCTTGCTGCATCCAAATAATCCAGAAATCGGGGGGTGGAATCTGGATCTGTGCAGGGTTGCCAGATTCTGCTGGTTTCCACTGGATAGTTTTTTATCTACCTGTATTATAAAGTGCCGCGCAAGTAAAGCAAGGGCCTGTGAAGTGAGGTGGGTGCTGGCTGCCCACAAACATTGACTCAGAGCCAGGTGCTCCCTCTACAGCCAATCAAAGCGCTGCCATGGTTCCGTTGGGACACCCTGCACATTCTAGGTACGTAGGCGCTGTTAGCAAAGCTACCCTCTCCCGAGAGAGTATCTTGGTTATGGCAATCTTGCAGCCCATGTGGCCTGCTCTCTAGCCTAGGTTGTCCATCGCAGGGCTAGAACATGGATCCAGGATTCAGACTTGGACTTGTCTCTAATTACATCAGCACATGCCATTAACAGTAGCAACAGATGGCAGAACAAGGAGCAATGGTGTCAAGTTACAGTGGGGGAGGTCCAGTTTGGATATTAGGAAAAACTATTTCCCTAGAAGGGTGGTGAAGCGCTGGGATGGGTTCCCTAGGGATGGGGTGGAAACTCCATTCCTAGAGGTTTTTAAGTCCCGGCTTGACAAAGCCCTGGCTGGGTTGATTTAGTTGGGGTTGGTCCTGCCTTGAGCAGGGGGCTGGACTTGATGACCTCCTGAGGTCTCTTCCAGCTCTATGATTCTATTCCTGGTGGGGGCTTCTCCACCATGCTTCTGAATAAACAATTCTACAGAGCAATGGCTGAGAAATTCTTGATGCAGGATAAAAACACACGACAGGCAGCGGCAGCCTTAGAAGGTTTCTTACTGGCGTGGGGGCTTAGTACTATTTCCTCCACAGCAGAAGGAACCAGTAATATATCTTGATCAAAGCCCCACCGTTAGCAGAATGCTTGGAGACCTTGAAGAGCTACCAGAGGTTCTCAGGTGTTCACGAGAATCCAAGTGCATGCATCATGGCAATCCCAACCCACCTAGAATCCCACAAGTATGAAAACAGACACTCCTCACAAAGTATCCCAGGTCTGGTTACACTGTGCAACCCAGATACCTGGAGACACACAAAGGACACAGGTGATGGAGAACACACCATTACCTTGTTCTGTTCCCATGGGCAGCCAGCACAGCCTGGTATTTCTGGACACACTCTTCCTGGAAAACCGACAAGACCTTTTTGGCCAAATGCCCCAAATTCAACCTGAACTCATTGGGGCAGAAGAAAAAAAAAAGAGCATTATTTCCCTGCATGGATGAGATTCAGTATCATACGTCAGTGGTTCCCAACGGCTGGGCCACAGACCGGTGCCAGGCTGCGAACCACTGGCTACAGCAGCTGCCAGAGCTGAAGATGGCTGTTCACAGCGGCTCTGGCAGCTGGGGCTAGAGTACATCTCAGCCCCCTGAGCTGCCGCACAGCAGCCGGCTTCAGCTCCGGCAACTGCCATAGCCTGGCAGCTAGCAGTTCACAGTGGCTCTGGAATATGCAAATAAATATGCAAATAAATTGTTACTGGTCCGCCAGAAGTTTGTGAATGGGTTTGCCGGTCCGTGGTATAAAAAAAAGGTTGGGAACCTCTGCCATAGGTCAAGCCACACAAGTGTGGAGATGGTCTCCAGGAAGGAAGGGGTTGTGTAACCATACACCTGCTGGGCGTGGGTTGCTGTCCCATGTAGAGGCACTGAAACCACTTTGAGAGGAAGAATGAGTTTCCTCTACAGCCTTCGCTGAGAGCCATCTGGCTTCAGGTTCATGCACTAAGCTCCAGAAGTCCCAGGTTCGGTTCCGCCTGTCGGCATTACTGTTGCTCTGTCTGAAGGGGTGGCAAATTCTTCAGAGGCAAAGAAACAACATGTCCCAGGCAAAATTTTATAGGAAAGCTCGCTTTAGCAGGAGGCTTTCAAAAGCATGCAAGAGCTGTAGCAGCACAAACCCTACTGAAAAGCAAATAGGACTTGAGCTCCTTTAGCCCACAGGCTTTTCTGAAAAACACCTCTGCCTCCGCCAATTCCTCTCCAATGCCTCCGGGCAAGTGGGTTTCACCCACGAAAGCTGATGCCCTAATAAATCTGCCACAAAACTTCTGGTTGTTTCTCCTCCTTCCAGTGGAACGAGAAAGTTGACAATAGCATTAGATCTCATAAAATATATCAGGGGTATAAACTCCCACGTCAGGAGAGCCTCTAAGCATGTGATGAATGTTTTGCACATGCCCATTGGGTTTGGGGAAGATGTTTAAAAGCACAAGTGCCATTTAGACACTTAATTTCCACTGAAAGAGTAGTGTGAGCTTGATTGCTTTCCTAAACAGGAGTCTTCATGCATAAGCCAGCCAGTTACTGGTGGGCAGTAACTTGCAGGCAGGTTGTTTCATCGTTATCCAGGACTATTATTTTTAATTTATATTGAAATAGCTCCTCGGCTCCCCAGCCCTGAAGCAGACCCTTTCACACTAGGGACGATATACACATAAGAACAAGACAGTCATTCCCCCAAAGATCTCACAGGCGAAATATTTCGTGCACCTTCTTCTAAAGCAGTTTGTAGTTTGGGTTGGGGTGGGGGGGCGGAAGCCAGGAACAATCAACTGATTGACACCAAAGTCATTAACAGACCAGACATTCTTCATCTAAGAACGCCTTGTGTCTCCTCAAAAGGCAACCAGAAATGCCAGACATTGAACCGCCCTGTTAACTGTTCAAGACCAAGGAACAAGGGGTTATTTACTTACTTATCCAGCTTGTGTATTTGTTCATCATTATAGGCCAGCCCTAGAAAAAGAGACACACACACAGACTTATTGGTAACATGCCAGGAAAGAACATGGGACCTTCCACATTCATGCAGACTGGTCAACATAGGTACACACATTCACAGCTACTACACTATAGCAAGAGATCACTGGAGGGAAAAAAAACGCAGCAGAAGTTTGATGGCATTCAAGTCTGGGAGTTGGGTGCTTAACTCACCAACTTCTGCTACTTACGCAGACTCATCCGGCTCTTCTTGAATTGCTTGTATATGAGTTGCATCTTCTCCAGGCAGCACTCCATCTGCCGGATGCTGTGGAACCAGGACATGAGATGTGTTTTCTTATCAGACAGCCAGTCCATTAAACCTCGTGTCTGACAAGGAGTGGGGTCTGCAGCAACCCACTTCCCTAAGAGCCACCCAGAATGCAAAGCAGAGGCTGCGTGCCCTAGTGGTTAGATCACCCGACTAGGGTTAGAACCTAGGTTCTATTACCAGATCTGCCTCTGGCCTGCCGTGTGACCCTGGACACTTCCCTTCTTGGTGCCGCAGTTTCCCCAGCTGTAAAATGGGGATAATTTTACTGAGCTCCTTTGTAAAGCCCTTTGAATTTAATGAATAAAAAGCTTTACACAAAGCTAGGCATTACCACCACCCCAGCAGGACTCTGAAATCCAGATAATTAAGACCAGCCCTTCGGCTTTCACTTGTCTCCTTGCACAACGAGCCACCAACTTTATTACTGCTACTAGCCTTTACTTAGTGCCCACCATTGGGGTGTCTGGGCATCTCCCAGGTCTACGCTACGTGAGAAAGTCGACCCAACATATACCACTCCAGCTACGGGAATAGCATAGCTGGAGTCGACGCACCCTAAATCGAGTTTCTCCAGTGTCCCCACTATGGGAGGTCGATGGGAGAAACTCCCGTCAGCTTCTCTTACTCCTTGCAACCCTGTCGAGTATCAGAGTCAATGGGGCCACCAGCAATGGTCAATTTAGCAGGTCCTTACTAGCTCTGCTAAATCAGACCCCGGAAGATCGATCTCTGGGTAAGTGTGGACCTAGCTCTAAGCGGAGACAGTCAGGATTTAAGAAGGCTGCATCCTCAGAGCTGCACTAGAACAGTGCCAGCAGCAGACACGGCTCACCCCGCAGGAGTGGTCCAGTGGGTGGGACATGTGAGTGAACAGTCAAAGAACAACCATGGAAACATACGTCATAAGGGACCACGTGGGTAACCCCTGCCAAGATGCAGGATTAACTGTTGTGTGAGACAGACAGTCCTGAGAGTCTAACTCCAGTGCTGTCACTGACTCCATTTTCCCATTTATAAAAATGGAGATAATTTTAGAATGGACTATAAAATAGAGGGAAAATGCACACATATTTGGTGCCAATTTTCCCAAGCTTTATAACAACTGCACCTTTAAAAAGTACCTTGAGCCATACAGATGAAAGGCACTATAGATGTCCAAAGCAGTGATATTAATGCTATTAGCAGCACAGCTATTAATATTACTGAAATATGAAGTGCAAACTAAGATGTCTAAATACTGACAATGTACAAGAACTATACACACACACAGCATACCACTTGTATTTGACATAAAATTGATATCAACATCTTGCACTTGAACACAAAGTTATATCAATATTAAAATTTGTACCATTAACCATGCATACAAATATTGGCAGGGTACTGGAGCGCGCGCACACACACACACACACACACACACACACACACACACACACACACACACACACACACACACACAGTCTAAGTAGGTGTGCAGATCAATACACACACAGTTGCATATGAAGACATGTTCATGTTTTTCAACATTCAATAAAAGCTTATTCCACCAACCTTCTGTCTTCATGTGCCTGTTTCCTTTGCTTTGCCAACTCAGACAAAACAGAGTCCAGCTTCCCTTGATGCTCGGACATGCTGTGCGCACATCTGGTGAGGTCTTCCATGACCTGCAGGGGGAAAAAGGTCCACATGGGGCACAGCGTTAACCAGAGACGGTCCCCATGGGCTTCTTAGCTCCCCATCACCACCCAAAACCTGTAGCTGGAGCTGCACACTCACAGTCTGCAGCCTTGTTTTCACTTCAGCCAGATCCTTCAGTTCTGGATTACTGTTGCCTCCAGAAACAGAGTCATGCCTGTCAGACACACATCAAAGCTTATTAAACAGAAGGCTTTTTCTGCTCTGGGCTAAAAGGCAGATATAACCTGGGCAAATGGAAGCCATCCTTTGAGGCTGCAAGCTTCAAAAGGAGATGGAGACGCACAACTCCCATTGAAACGAATGCAAATCACACATCTACATCCCTGTAGGCAGCATTCTCAGCAATAAAATAACCCAGCCCCCAATAAACCATTTTCCACCAGCAGCACAAAGAAGAGCTAAAATGACCGGGTATGGTTTCCATGTCACTGGAGCAGCAGTGACCGCCAAGGATGGATTGTCTGAGATGCCCCTGGAATGTGGTTTCGGATGGAATTTCCACTAACAGAGCATCTGAAATGGAACCAATAGGCTCATCGACCCAAAACATGTGGCCAGGCCAGGGGCTGCACTTAGTGGCAAGGGTGTGAATCCTAGAGACAGAAGACACACATTCAAGTCCATTCCCCACTTGTTCTTTATAGCAGATTCTCTAGGGCTGTGTCCTCTCTCATTCCAGGATGCCCCTCGTTCCCTTGGGAGAGCAATGCCTGCGGCACGTAGGCTCCGGCGGAGTCAGCCATTCTTCACATGGTTTTCATTTTAGGGAGCAACGAGACTCTTTTTTTCCATTTGCATTCAGCTGAAGATTCCAGCACGGGTGTCTCCCTCAAGTTATGCTGTGACTTCATCTCTGTGGCTAACATGGGTTTGCTGTAGCCTGTAATATCCCAGCTGAAAAGACCTTGAGAGCAGCCAAGCCAGCAGGGACTAAAATGGAGGTTCTTATGAAACCAGAGACTGATGATCCATGGAGGAGAAAAAAAAATCAGCATACATAGTCCTGCACATTCCCCATGTACAAGGATTGCAGCAATGTGACACTCGCCAGCAACCCAGTTTATTCACAAGTCTCTTTCGCCGCTGACCCAATCATCTGGTACTCATTACCTACCAATGACCGTCATTGGCTCCTGACAAGCTCCCCTCATTTCAGGAATAATTGCAACACCAAGCTCTTAACACAGCCCTTTTTAATCAGCAGATTGCAAAGCACTGTCCAGCGGAGGCCAGTGTCATTAGCTACTTTTTAGAGAAAAGGAGGGACACCAAAAATGACTTGCCCAAGGTCTCCAAAGGCTGGAGGCAGGAACCGAAGTGAGGTATTCCAAGTCCCATCCCTATGCTCTATCCAGTAGGCTGCACTGCCAAGCATTTGAGCATTTCAGTCTGCCAAACCACAGTCTGACAGACCTGCAAGTAGCTGTCTTGTCACAAACCAGCTCCACAAGACAGATCCACAGGGAGGCCTTGGAATCCCAGTTCATCCGCAAATTCAATTCACGTGCTAATGGACTCAACTGTCATATGGGCTGGCTAGGATACTACCTACTTAATAGCCACTGAAGGTGCTAACAAGCTCTCTGAATGGTATCCTTCCTGTCTTAGGAATCTATCTATTGCATGGGTTCCCAAACTGGGGGGGCGTGAATTAATTTCAGGGGTGGGCCCCAATCAAGTTTTGCTGCCGGTCAGTTCCTTTTTTTTTTTGCTCAACAAGTTTTGCTCTTGGGGGGGCGGATGTTCGGAGAGCGACCGCAGATGCTTTGCAAGCTCCAGTGACTAGGGTCTGCGTGGAGCCAAGAGGTGGGAGTTCAGTCCTCTCTTGGGGCAGCCCACGTGTGGGACAGAGTTCAGGGCCACGACCACATGTGCACGACCTGCCCTGGCTCCTGCATTACCCTATGCTGCAGCACGGGCAGCAACCAAGCAACACTTACAACACGCAGGCCTTTTCCTCAGTGTGCTGCAAGCAGGTCAGCATTGACACGGCCGCTTCCCTTCTCTCCAGAACACGGGAGCTCTCGGCTTTCAGGCTCCCACTGCAAAGAGATAGGCTTGTCTGGGGTCATCCAGCCCTCCTCACCCTCTACACAGAGCCAAAAAGGGGCATGCAGCTGAACTTCCTCCCAACTATCTGCCCCTCCTTGTTCTGGCCTTGTGCTTCAGCGTTTCCTGTTGGGTGCTTGTAACCATGAATGGTACAGTAGGTTAGTGAATGCCAGCTCTATCACTTACTCACCTGATATGGGACACTGTACTATGTGCATTAAGTCCAGCGGAGGACAACAAAAAGTGATTCAGGGCCTGAAGTGCATGAATTATGAGGAGAGTCTGAGGGATTTGGGCTTGTTTAATCTACAGGAGAGAAGAGTGAGGGGGGATTTGATAGCAGCCTTCAACTACCTGAAGGGAGGTTCCAAAGAGGATGGAGACAGGCTGTTCTCAGTGGTGGCAGATGACAGAACGAGGAGCAATGGTCTCAAGTTGCAGTGGGGGGAGGTCCAGGTTGGATATTAGGAAAAACTATTTCCCTAGGAGAGTGGTGAAGCACTGGAATGGGTTACCTAGGGAGGGGGTGGAGTCTCCATCCCTAGAGGTTTTTAAGTCCCAGCTTGACAAAGCCCCGACTGGTTTAGTTGGGGTTGGTCCTGCTTTGGGCAGGGGCTGGACTCAATAACTCCTGAGATCTCTTCCAGCCCTAGGATTCTGTGAATGCTGCGATATTCAGCACCATCGTGTGAACTGGACCACCCATCGGTGTCAGACTGGGACTAGCCATCAGCTGCAGTGGGGATGAAGGTTCCATTTGCAGCATGTGCTCCAAAGGAGCTTTGCTAGAAGCTCTCAGGTGTCTCCTCTCTCTCTCATCCCCCCTCCCCCGGAGAACTGGTGTAGCATACGACTGCACACACAAAAGCAATCTGGTTCTGAAACACAAGCTATTTCCATCAGCTACACAGAGAGAAAATAAATCCAACAGCTCCCCACAGGGTATCCTGGCCTTCATGTACTTACATCACCCAGTAAAGACCTCTCAGAATGAACTCTTGAGATTTCAGAAGTGACCGAGAGATCCTCAGCGTCTGGTGAACCGTGCTCAGGACAGTCTACAATGCAAAAGGGCATGGCCAATTCACCGCTTTGTCCCAGCATCATTTCCAAAGCTTATTTCAATCTCCAGCAGCAATCCCAAGCATACCTTTGCCATGCTGCAGTCTGCCACAACATCAACCTTTGGGGCGAACTTTGGTAAGTCAAGTGCCGCTGAAAACAAAGAGACATCGTTCAAAGCCCTTGGTGGGTACACTGTGCAGATAGCCCAACGTATGTATTCCCTCCTGGACCTCTGTGCTTCATGTCTGCTTCAAACAGGTGCACTTCTGTGGATCAGCAGTGACATCTAATGTCCACGTACGAGAAGCACAGATATTGCGCTCACCTGATATGGGCTGACATTTTCAAAATTGCCCACATGACTCAGATGCCTAAGACCTACTTTCCAACATGACTCAGGCATTCAGGCTTCTAAGTCACATGGGAGATGTTTAAAATTTTACCCTGCATCTTAGTTGTACTGACAGCTTCTGAGCATAAAACCCAAGTGAGAATTCACTGCAACTCTCAGCCAATGTTTTAATATGGAGACATCAACACAGAAAGCATCCTTTCCTGAAGGCTTTGTGGGCACTTCTGTCTAATCTAATAGGAAAGGCAATGTTCTCCAATCTGACTCACATCGTGCATCTCCACAACACATTTTGCCCTAGGGTTCTGCAGTGGAATAAAGAGAGAATATAAAACAGAGAACTGCAACATGGAAGTACTTAGCCTTTAGAGCACACTTTTGGTCTCAAATGCATCATCTGAAGAAGTGGGCTGTGCCCATGAAAGCGCATACCACCACCTACATGTTTTGTTAGTCTTTAAAGTGCTACCAGATCATTTGTTGTTTTTTAAATTTATCCCATACAAACTAACTCGGCAACCTCCTGAAGCTTTTAAATATTAACTAGTTCATCTTCATATCTTTCAGACATGGCTAAATAAGTACCTTCTCCATTTTACAGAGAGAACAAGAGGCAGAGAATTTTTACTCAAGCCCATAGAGGGAATCTGTATTAGATCCTGTGCCCACATCACTAGCCTACATCTGTGGCAGGGCAAAGCTGAGTTCAGACTTTACTGACTGACAGTAACACCTAGAGGTTTCTGCCAGCTCCTGGCCCCATTGCACTAGGCAATGTCCAGAGACACCGCAGGAGATAGTTCCCACCCTAAAGAATAATCTAAACAGACAAAACTGACATCATTATTACTATTCCCATTTTACAGATAAGTGAGGCACAGAGCGATTAAATGACTTCCCCATGGGCAGGAAGGAAATCTGTGCCAGAAATGAAAACTGAACCCAAACACATCCAGTGCCTTAACTACAAAACCACCCCTTCCACTCTTAGAGTTGCCAGGTGTCTGGTTTTCACCTGAAAAGTCCAGTATTTGTGTCCCCTGTCCAGTTAAAAAACCAGATACGTGTCCGGTATTTTCTGTTCTCGGATGGAAGGCCAGAAGGGACATTCTTCCCCTGTCACATCTGGTGAGGGTGGGGCGATTTAAAGACGCAGTGCCTTTTTTTTCTGCTCGACGAGTCTGGTCTCTTTTTTGGGGGGAGGGGGTTGCCCCCCCCCCCCCCGTTTTTTCTTTTTTGCTCAACCAATTATTTCCCCTGACACATTCGGGATTTTTTGCCAAAGTATCTGGGAATCCCCATCTGCTCTATTGAACTTAGCCCTAATAATGTACAGTTGTGCAGGCAGGCTCCAGATGCCCTGTAACAGGAGGAACATCACAGGTGGCCATAGAAGAAGAGGGCTCCATTTTACAAGGTAACTGGACTCACGATCTCTGAATCTCACTCCCACGGGCCCCTCCAGTTCAGTGCTCAGCAAGGTTAGAGGGCTTTCTTCTGTGGTCCTGGAGAAATTGTGAGCTTGCAGGCTGGCTTCCAATGGATATGGGTAGCCTTCAAAAAAATATTCTTGATGGTGCGGGACTATGTGTGTCTGCGTGAAGACGGCTTCCAAAAATATGGTGGTACTGAAACGGGAAGTAAAACACGAGATCAGCAGCACCCAAGATGATTGCAGACAATGGTGTGTTGTTTGGCCATTAGTCCTCCCCTCCCCCATCCTACTCTTTATTGGATCATTCTCCAAAGGGAGCTCAGCTGAGCTCCAGCAAAGCTTTCTAGCAGCACACAGCATCAGACCAGGTTGCCATTGCTCTAGCCTTCTCTCACTGCAAAGTTCTCTCAGTCTGACCCAACCTCCGCTGATGTCAAGGGGAGATTTTCCATTGACCGCGGTGGGTTTTGGTTTATGCCTGAGAGGAGTAGGAATCACTTCTCCAATGAGACATAGCTTCCCGTGCAGCGAAGGGCAGAAGAGCAGGCGCACAGCAGTAAGCAATCCCTTCCAGCTAACGCAACGCCCTGGGAACACGTGGCTTCCTTCTGCCTCTCCCACGGGTGTGTCAGTTTTGGCAGGGGCCCAAAGCCAACAAGCACTTCTGCCAGATCCACACAGGAAACCTGGAGAGAAAATGTGGCCAGTGACCCAGGACTCCTGGATTAATCTCCTCAGTGTGCCACTAACCTAGGCCTCCCTTGCCGGGGCAAAGCCAGTGATGGGCAACCCGCAGCCCGCAGGATACATGCAGCCCAGTGGGGCTCCACCTGTGGCCCACAAACCCCATCTGCTCCTCTCCCCCACACGCCCCTCACACACACTGGAGCCCCGCACTTCCTACTCCTCCTCCTCGCTTCAAGGATTTTCCGAGTGCTGTCAATCAGCTGTTCCAGCTCTGAGGGGCAGAAGGGAGAAGAGTGGAGTTGCCAGATACTTTCACAAATATCGAACACGGTGGGGAAAAAATTGGTTGAGTAAAAAAAAAACAAAAACAAAAAACAAAAAACAACCTGCCCCCAAAAAGACTCACCGCACCTTTAAATCCCCACGCTCAGGGGAAGAATGTCCCAAGCGGCCTTCCGTCCGAGAAAACACCAGACATTTCACATGTCCGGTATTTTCTGGGGTTTTTTTAAAACCAGACAGAGGCTGCAAATTCCGGACTGTCTGGGCCAATATTGGACGCCTGGCAACCCTAGAGAAGAATGGGGATGGAGCTCCAATCAGCAGATTCATGGCCCTCTGAAAGTGCTGGGCTGGAGTAGGAAGTGCAGGTTCTAGTATGCGAGAGGTACATGGGGGAGGGAGCAGAGAGGCCACGGGGCTGCGGGTGGAACCCCAAGGGCCCCAGGCTGCTGCAGCCCACTGCAATGAAGGGGGGGCCACTCTCCGCGGTTACCCATTGGTGGGCCAAGCCGCGCTTACGTGTTGTAAGAGTGGATGTAGACCCGGTGCGTGGTAGCTTGCTGCAAGGAGAAGACGTGGACCACTATCCTATGCAGGATGTCACTGGTTTCAGCAAAAAACTGGTCAAAGCCCCAGCACTTCTCCTGATCGACTTCCAGAATGTTCGCCAGGATGGGGATGAGCTGGCTCTTCAGCCCCCTGCAGCCAAGGAAAGCAAATGAAGGCAAAGTTATTCTCGCTCACCCCCATCCAGAGTGAATAAATATCACCGGAAGGCAGTGTGTTCCAATGGATAGGATGCTGGCGCAGAAACCAAGAGGGCTGGGTTCTATTCCCACCTCTGCCATGGACCTCTGACACACTTCGGGCAAATCACTTCCCCCTTCCCAGGCCTCCATAAAATGGAGATACTATTAGACCTTCTTTCATACAGCGTGTTGAAATCTACAGAAGCAACACCAGCTTCCCAAGTGAAGGACCCACACACGATATGGTGCTGATCCAACGCTCTTTGTAGTCGCTCCAATCAATCAAAGGGAGTGGGATGGGGAATTATAAGCACGACATATCATCAAATTGCACACTACTCGTTCCACATTTCATGGCATGGCCAAATAGATTCCCATACAAGCTCTCAAATGCCTGGCGTGCGCTTTGTCATCATTAAGGATTTGTTCAGCTATCCTCGACACAGCTCGGTGCAATATTCCTCCAGCATCCATAGGCTTGTCACTTGCATTTCTCCTGATGCTCCATTCCAATTTAGCCCTCACAAATGAATCAAACTCAGTACCCGGAGAGCTTTTTTCCCCATCTTCATTTCCCAGGGGATGTAAGCAAATAAATAGATGGGTTCATGGGCCGTCAGGCAGGAAGAGAGAGACTCAACATAAAACCTTGAAGCCTCATCTGATAGGAGGGAAGGATTGTGTGGGAGGACTGAGGGGAGAGTTTAAGGAATGAATGCATTTTTCTCTATGATGAATTGAGTGCTGGTCTGACAGCCGTAGATGCTGAAATCCCCTCGTTAACCACACTAGAGGAATGGCACCGAGAACAAAAGGTTAAGCATACAGCTGCTAGGAAATATTTGGATCAACTACATTTTCTCCTATTCGTTCAAGTTGAAGCTACTTGCAAAAAAGGATCAAGTTTAGATCAATCTCCCAGATCAAAATTAAAAAAAAAAATTTTCCCCCAGAATGATTGAAACACCCTATCTCGACATTTTCAAATGGAAAGGCCTTCTTCAACACTTTAGTGAATTTAAATGAGAAGAGTTTAAGGAAAAAAGCTGCCATTGAAACAAAACATTTTGATTGACCCAAAACAGAACTGTGGAGGAAGGGAGGATTTTTGGTTCATGCAAGTTTTCTAGAATTCAATTTGCCCTCCCAAGTTAGGATGCAAGAAAAGGTCAGTAACTTGATAATTTTCACAGAATGGGAAAACCATTTCTCAGGTAGTTCTGGTAATGTGTTCTCCTTGCCCCATCAATATGTTTCAGCCCCGTCCTTAAATACCCCAGATAGTTCAGTGATGGGCACAGAACAGATCAGTAAGAAGCAGGGATAATATTTACAACAGCGGTGTTATGAAAGGAAAGTCAATATTCTGTGTGAAAATATACTTATGAATATGACATAACTGCAATTATACAAAATATTTTATGTGAGCTATCACTGAAAGGTTGTGACCTACTGAATAAGATGATTCTATTGCATTCATGTATCATTCCTATACCTGAAGTTAGAAATATGAAGTACAGGCAGTCCCCGACTTACACGGATCAGACTTATGTCGGACCCGCAGTTATGAACGGGGCTTTTCTCGCCCCGGAGGACACGGACTGCGGGACCTCGCGGTCCCGCCGCCCGTGTACTCCGGGGCGAGAAAAGCTGCTCCGCGTCTCCCTGGTCTGCAGACCAGGAAGACGCGGAGCAAAGCCGCGGAGGGGCTCGGGCAGCGGAGCAAAGCCTCGGGGGAAGCTGGCAGCGGGGCAGCCCAGACGCACCGCGGCTGTCCCGCTGCCGGCGTCCTCAGAGGCTTTGCTTCCCGTCTCCCTGGTCTGCTGGTCTGTCAGTCAAAAAGATGGGAGAACAGATGGGAGAACAGAGCCACTGGTGTTCAGTCCAACGTTACACATAGTCTGTGGCAGGGGGAGGGGGCGAAGAATCTAAATTTTCTGAGTCTCAGTCATCTCCTATAACCACAGCTCTTCCCCTAAACAGCGAGGAAGCTCATGCACCATCATATAAATGAAAAACCTTTCTTCTGCTGGGGCGCTGCCGGTTGGTCCCGCAGCGCCGCTCTGGGCGCTACTGGACCAACCCGGCAGCACCCCAGCTGCTCTGCCCCAGGCGTCCTCAAGTCAGCCGCTGCTCCAGCCCAGTTCCCACTGGGGAGGGGGCTCCTCCAGCTGGGCCCACTGCAGCCACAGACAGAATGCAGCTGGTCAGGCTGGTTAATCAGTTATCTTGTAAGCAGGCCGATAAGCCACCTGGTTACTGGGTCACCAGTTAGCATCTTGCATCCCTCATTTACACTTAGGCTCTTGATTCTACTGCAGCCTTCACATAACTGAGCACATTCCAGGAGATAGGTCAACAGTCACAAAGACTAACGGAGGGACAGAGATACCAGTGGGCTCCACATATTCTCTGAGAGGAAGCAGCCACGGCTTTTCAAGAGCCTCGTGTTGCTCTCAAAGTCTTCACCATGCTCAACATTCTGTACTTCAGCCCCAGCAACGTACCCGGCACTGTACGGTGCACCCAGGAGGGTCGTTGGCAGCAGGGACTCAATGCCCCTTTGGACTGAAAAGCAAAAACTTTGACTGCCTGAGCCACTAGCCCCAGTGCCACTGGCTCCAAGGATGGAGCCAACTCAAGCATGTGTACAGTCCAGCCACTGGAGGGGGAAGCACAGCTGTGCTTCGTGAGCATGCCAACCCACATCCTGCCCCAGGGAGCTTATGAACTGCATAACAAGGGGTCTACATCTCCCTCTGCAGCACTGAAAAACACCACTTGCACAGAGATGTTAGCATTACTACAGACCCTAACGGAGAGATGTTGGCATGGCAGAAGCTACCTCACTGGAGTATGCCAAGAGCAGACCAGAGTCTCTGTGCTCTTCGCCAGTTCAAAGTAGCATTTCTGTCCATGCAACCCATTGTCTGGTTCAAAGCTCTACGATCCTGAGGATGTGGTGAAGGCTAGGACTTTTACAGGGTTCAAAAAAGAGCTAGACAGATTCATGAAGGTTAGGTCCAGTAATGACTATGAGCCAGGATGGGTAGGAACGGTGTCCCTAGCCTCTGTTTCTCTGGAAGTGCGAGACAGGGGAGGGATCATGGGAGGATTACCTGTTGTGTTCCCTCCCTCTGGGGCACCTGGCATTGGCCACTGTCGGCAGACAGGACCCTGAGCTAGATGGACCTTTGGTCTGACCCAGTCTGGCCGCTCTCATGTGCTTATCAAAGCAGGAGCTCCCTGGGAGCAGAGACTGCCGGGTAACCCCAACCCTCCAACACTCACACTGACAGTTGGCAGGTGATGGGCAACTCGTAGCTCCACTCAATGGGCCCGTTCTCCTGCCTCTGGACGCCTGCGATAGCTCCAGCGGGTTTCTCAGTCGTTATTTTATGCCTGTTGAAAGGAAGCGGTTCCATTGTGTGGAAACTCGACCACTGGCCTCCACTTGGCACATTCCCATCCCCGGGTCTGCAAATCTCTTGGCAGGCGTGTAGGGGGCCCGGGCGGAGAAGAGAAGGAAAATGAGTCAGGTATGGAGAGAAAGCAGTCTCCACCTTCCCATTGTGATCAGGGAGGCGTTTCAATTGACAACACCAAGAATTTGCCACCCACCAGAGGGGCCCAAACTGGAAAACCGGACCAGCGAACACAAGTGTGCCGAGACTGGGCATGCTAGCTAAGCCAACGGGGCAGTCCCATAGCCCACACGTGCTTAGCCTGCTTTGCACCTGCCTGCTCCCTGGGTACCACTGAGGCATCGGCTTGTTGAAGGTGCGATTCAGAACCATCCACCACAAAAAGAATCCCGACAGCGATGCCCATCCCTCACACCTTGGAGAAACGCAAAGAAAAAAATCCGAAGCCTGCTCCCATCATGCCATGGGGGGAAGCGGCGGTGCTGTCAGAAGAGGGTGCACAGAGGGAGGAGGAGCAGTTCAAGCAGAGGCCTGAAAGCAAAGCCAGAAGCTGCTCTGTCGTTCAGCCGTTAAACCACAGAAGCCACAGACACACCGATATCAAGGCAAACGTATCACAGCCCGGGGCCCTGATTGCCAGCTGCAGCTCTGTTGTCTTCCTGCTGGATGCTGGCTTGAAGCAGAACCCTGGTGTGCTCGAGGTAGGGACAAACCTCGCCAGGTCGGGTCCCCTCCAGGGGACTTGGGCGCCCCACGGCACAACGCTGCAGTGAGAGCCATGGGGCGAACTAGAGCAGGGGCTGCCCTGGGGACTTGCCAATCCAGGGCAATCCCACTGAAACTGCAGTCCCCGCCATGTTGTGCTCTATCTTACCACCCCCACAGAGCAAGGAATGCTGGGGACTGCAGATGAAGCCAGCCATAAGCCACCCTTGCAGCAGATCTAAGGTACACTTGAGAATCTGGGTGATTAAGTCATTAGTAAGCCAAGGTGCATAAGCAACTCACAGACCCGGTCAATTCCACTCTCGTCATAAACGGCACAATAGCCGGCATGGGTATTCAGCTGACCTCCAAGACCACAAGCCTCGGGTCCGGACAGAGGCAGGACTCAAGATAGCAAGAAGTAGGAGGCAGAGCTGGAGCAAGATGCCACACTGATGCAGCAGGTGGTAGGGCAGGTCAGAATTAGGGTGCATTGCTAGCGTGACGTTCAATGCACATGTTGCCTACCTCACCCCCGTCTCACTGAAGGACATACTTCGATTCACCCAACTCAGCCAAAACAGCATAAAGCCCATTTCAACACCACGTTCCTGCTGGCAGCACTACCTACATGATTTCTTTATTCCTGCGAGGTCCGCCAAAGGGGATGAACGGGAGACTGCCCGTAGCAGCATGGTAAAAGGTTACCCCAATGCTCCACAGATCCACAGTCACCCCATAAGCCTTTTGCTGGGGCTTCCTCAGCACTGCCCGCTCGTACATGTCCGGGTGCTAATGGGACGAAGTGGATAAAAGCATTGTGAATCAATCTGCTTGAGTTATAGTAGGGTGGTCAGAGAAGTTTGGATTTGAGTAGTGATTTGGGGTTCCTCCATTTTTGGATGCCCAACTAGAGAGACTATAAAGGGGTTTAGTTTTCCAAACATGGGAGCACCCGTTCTCTGGAAAAAAATCAGGTCCTTATACGCTAGGTTCCCCAAAAATGAGGCATTCCACTTCCTATGGCCAAGGTTTATGAAAGTGGCTGCGGATTTGAAGTTCAAGCACAGGGGTCTCTATGAAGGGAATGGGTGAAGACAGAGGGGAGATCCACCATTCTAACAGGACAGAGCAATGGATTGAGACTTGAGACCTAGAATCTAGTCCCAGGTCTGCCCTTGACCTGCTAGATGAGCCTGGGTAAGTCATGGCCACCCCCCATGACTCAGTTTCCCCATTGGTAAAACACCGAGTTACTGATGGAGAGTGCTATAGCCAAGTCAGGTTTTGCTGGTCTCTACTATGCATAGCAACAGTCCGTGCTCCTTGAGTTCCAGACCATGTATGCTGAGCAAAGGAATCCTTCCTTCCACCAGCTCCCGCTCATTAACCAACTGGTATTTTGTTTTACTCACAAGATATTCCTCCGTCCCATAGACGGACACGAACTTCTCGTCGTCGTCCAGCTCTCGGGCGGCCCCGAAGTCCGTGAGCTTGTAGACGCTCTGCCCGTCTTCCCCCACCAGCCGCATGATGTTCCCGGGTTTGATGTCTCTGTGGACAATGCCGTTCTCGCGGAGGTGGTTCATGCCGGCCACTAAAAACACAATGGGGAAGTGAGACAGCGCGCAGGGTTGGTGTCTGCTTCCTCGAGCCGGCTTTGCCCACAGGCAGCCGGGTGGGCTAGAATCAAGGGAGGCAGAGGACCCCGGGTTCAACTTTCAGACCCTACTGAAGCTCACGTGAGCTTGTGGTAAACAGAGATGACCAATTAACATGACACCCATTCTAAAGTAGGGATGCACGGCCTGGCAAATGATACCCTCAGATACGTGCTAACGTGGGCCCAGCCTACCTTCCCATTCCGTTGCACAGTTAAGTCTCTCAGCTCCTGCGGGATGCTACGGGCATCTTCAGAAGAGGCTTGCTACCATAGGCGCATGGAGATGCCCCTCATCTAAAAGCCTCTCAGGGCGCGAAAGTGGCCAGTGTAAGCACTTGGTTCCAGGGTACGGAGTCTCTCACCTGCCAAGTCACTGGTTCAAATCCAGCCTGGGGTGGTGACTCAGCTGTTACTATTCAGTGGCCAGAATTTGGCTGTTTCGGTTCTTAAGATAACTGACTACCGGTCACAGCTGGCCCCTCCGCTGAGGACCAGTGGATAGGTCCACTTCTGGCCGAGGGATCATACTCCCTTGTGAATTCAGCCTTTGTTCTCAGGACCACCACCATTCTCACTTCTTTGTGAAATTCACACTGGGCTGTTCTTTGCCCCCATCCACATCATTACACAACAGTAGATCTATCACAGAGCTGGGTATGAGGACAGATTAATAAGACTGGAACTTTTTGGCTTGAAAAAAGAGATGTCTAAGAGGGGAAACAGAGAGGTTTATAAAATTATGACTGTGGGGAAAGTCAATAAGGAAGTGCTATTTAATCCTTTCATAACCTAAGAAAGAGGGGTCAACAAATGAAATTAATAAGCAACAGATGTAAAATAAACCAAAGGAAGGGTTCCTCCCCCCCACAACACAAAGTCAACCTGTGGAACTCCTTGCCAGAGGACAGCTAAGACTATAACAGGGTTCAAAAAAGAGCTAGATAAATTCTTGGAGGACAGGTCTGTCAATGGCTATGAGCCAGGATGGGTAGGAATGGTGTCCCTAGCCTCTGTTTGACACAAGCTGGGAATGAATGACAAGGGAGCCGATCACATGATGACTCCCTGTTCTGCTCATTCCCTCTGAAGCACCTGGCATTAGCTACTGTCAGAACACAAGGCTAGCTGGACCTTTGGTCTGACCCAGTATGGCCATGCTTGTACAGAATGCAAATCCCATGACCCTACTCGCTGCATCAAGAACATGATTATCCCTCTTTCTGCCCCCCCCGCCCAAGCTAGTAGTTCTGACACTTACTAACGCAATGCAGCACGATGAGGAATTCTGACTCGGCCAAGCCAAAGGAGTTCTCTGGATCTTCCAATACACTCAGCAAGCTCCCACTTGAGCAGTATTCCATCACTAGCACCTTTTGCTTGCTGTTTCCCTGGGTCTGGCAGGCGGAGAGAGAGAGAGAGATGGATCCTTTCAGCTGCATCTTACAGAACAGAAGCCCTGTGACACAGTGCTATGCCCAGGGACCCTGGGCAGGCTGCTGTGTCCCACCCCTTCTCCCAGCAACAGACAGGTTCTGTTCCTTCCTTGTCCTACGTGGCTCTTCTAGTCCAAGACAACTGACAGTCCACACAAGAGAATATTGGTTGGAAAATAAACTCTGCTGCCCAAAACCAAGTCCTCGCCGAACACACCCCATCCTGAACTCAAAGAAACTGGCAAATGAGTCACAAGAGTGTGCTTTCCAAGGCACTTGGCTCCCTCACCTCAGGGGCAGGAATCCATGCAGACTAGTGGTGTGAAAGCACCAGATCTGAAGGCACAACAGATCTATTTTTAGTTACTTCATTCAGCTGGTCTGGGGCTTGGCCAAGTCCCTTCAGTGCTCCATCCTTCAGTGCCTCTGTCCGGCTAAGGTCATGTCTATGCTAAACGGAAGATGGCCACTGCCACGACCGATCTTCCGGAGTTTGATTTAGCAAGTCTAGTTAAGACTCACTAAATGGAACTCAGAGGGCACCACTGCTGATGTCCAGTACTCCTGCTTGTGCAAGGGAAGTCAATGGGAGTGTTTGCTCTCCTTGGCCTCCTGCTGTGGGGATAGCAGGGTAATGCAGAACAAAGAACGTCGACTCCAGCCACGTAATTAACATAGCTGGAATTGCATGTCTTGCTTCGCCTGAGTGTAGATCTGGCCTATGAGGAACAATGCCACAAGGATATTGGGAGACATCACAAAGTTTCGCAAAGCACTTTGAGCTGAAACAATAGGTAGGGGGTGAGGTGAGAAGAGAAAAACCAGAGAAAGAGAATATGCCTGTCACAGTCACTAAAAGCCAAGCCCTGTCACATTACCACCACACCGCACCTGTTCCATTGTTCAGCTAGACACAGACTTACAGTCTCTTCAACTGCAAACAGTTTGACGATGTTCTTATGGTTTAACTTCCGCAGCACCTCGAACTCTCTCATCTGCACCTCCAGTGGTCTCAGGTAACTGGCGTTATTGAAGACCTTCACAGCAACCAGCTCCCCAGCTCTCTGGGCAAGGAGGAGAAAAGGAACAAGACAGATTCCGAGAACAGATTAGTGTACAGCACAAGTTCTGTAAAGTGTCAACAGTTCTGCTCCCGAGGGGACACCAAAAATTAATACAGAAGGCAGCTCAGAATCCAGGTAGATATGAAAGGATTAAAGGGGAGGTTTTCAAAGGCATAAAGAGACGGGAAATGGCCAGCTCCCATTGAAAACCCAATTCCCCCTTTGCGTCATCTGGAAATCCCCTTGCAAGATCAAGATTAGCCCTGGGCTGAAAAACATGCTTCATTTGCCACCACTGCTCAAGGCTGCAGTTACCGTAGCTGGTTGTTTGGCTCTCCCTCGTTCTGTTCCCCATTTCATGACCTCATACAGTTCCTGTCCTAACTCAATAGCTTGGCTATTGCTAGTCCCCTGTGGTATGGAAAGCAAATGGTCCAGGCCACATTTTTTTGTGGGCTCCACCCTTTCCAAGCCTGGCCCTCCCCATCTGAAAAGGTAGGACCAGCAATAAAGCACAGGGGAGAGGCGCTGTGCTGGACACACATTCAGTTCAGCACAACATCTCTAACTGGACCCGACACCCCCCCCCCCCCAGCCCTTCCTCCTTGCAAGT